AGGGCATCAAGTCACCAGCAACAGAGCCCACAGACCCGGGTGACAAGCTGTCCTCTCTGCACTTGCTTGGCGCACTGACTTTATCACTTTATCTTCCCAAATCTCCCCTCGTAGGCTAGCCCAGCTCCTACTTATATCATTCTCCCGCTCATTTTGCCCTTTTCTTAACCCAGCCTCTGTCTCTTCCTGCCATGTCCGTCCTTTCCACAGCTCCTCCCACCCTACTCACCTCCCCAAAGCCTCTCCTCCCTTAAGGATTGGTCTGGGGCCCTTTACAATAGAAAGGGACAGGGCAGGGGAGGCACCTTACGCCCCATTTGCAAAGGACTGTGTAAGTTTAATCCTCTGCAAACACATACTAAAAGGCCATCAAGATTAGAGGAACATATTAGTCTTCACATCGTTTGCTTTCAGAATAATCCGAGTTCATCATTCCACAGTTCCCTACTATAGCATGGCAGAGGTGAAAAAAGCCCTCATTCATTTGTGTCCCTCCTTCTTACTTTATCAGGTTGAGCAAAAAGAAACCGACGTGAACCACACCATCTCAGAGGTGCCACAGTGTCTCTATCATCAATATCGGGCCACCACCAGAAGAAACAAAAGATCTACCAAAGCCACAAAAGAAAATCTCACAGGGGATATTAGCCACAAAGCCATCCCTCCCCCCATCTGGCTTGGGAAGTCGCTGAGCTACAGATCACCAGATCCTGGAAACATTTAAAAGGGATGCATCACTGTAGCCTCTTCCAGGCAGTTGCCACGGACCACTGTCACATGCTGAGCAAGACAGACCATTGCTCTGATCCAAAGGCAGTTCTTTTGCCTACCCTACAACCCTGCCAGCTCTCCCAGGTGTATCTTCACCTGTGTTGTCCTTTCCATCAGGGCCTTTAAGTTCTGCTAATGCACAGACTGCAGATGCCACTCTCTTAAAATGGAAATAACTGCTTAGCTCTCACAATTACATAGGAAAAAAAAAAATTGAAAAGGCAAACCAAGGAAACATAAATCAAGAAATTGCTCATTTAAAGTCAGGACTGCCTTAACTTTGACTCCCCATCTTTGAACGCTCATAAAGAGCCATCTGGCTCCCATCAGCTTCCAAAGCATGCAAGACATCCCCAAAAAGCCCTCTGCTTGAGACCCTTCCAGCCTAGCCCTGCCAGGTAAAGAGAATAATCTGGCCACAGATCTTGCAAGCATCTCCCATCTCCCACTGTGGTGCTGCTTGCAGAGCCAAGCCTTCTCAGGACTCCCAATAAGTCGCTGCTGTTTGCAAAAGGTATTTAATTTGCTTCTAACACCTGCGGGAGCCTGCAGCAAGGAAACAGCCCCCAGGGCTTAAATGTATCTATCTATTCACAAAGCAGCAGTTTTCCCAGACTTCCTGGGGTCACCGCAAAAAAAGCTGCCTGCCCTTAGCTCAGAGAGGGAAGACAGTGTCTGTATTTGTTCTGAGAAACAACTTTGGGGCACAAGCTGTTAAATCTCTGCCTTAATAATGCACTCCCCTCTGGCAGGCTGAATTCTACCAGATGGTGTTTCTTTCCTGAAAGAGGGATCCCATGCTTCTTGCAGGAGAGGCATGCTATTAGAGGGCTGTGGCAGCAGCGAAATGACACAAAGAACTCTGGCCTGCTCTGGATCCTGGGAGAGCAAAGAAAACCCTATTCAAAGTCTCAGCTCCCTAGGAAAGCATGATAGTAATGGTATACCGCAATCTGTACTGCTCACAGCCCTTCCAGTGGCCAGATGCTCATTACACCAAAACCACAGAGAGGTAGAGTCCTACTCCAAAGAGCTCACCATGGGGACAGCATCGCTAAGTGGAAGCATCGTACTCCAGCCTCCGGAGCTCCAGTCCTTCCAGTGAGGAGACACATGGCCATGTCTTCCATGGCTGCAACTGCTCAGCAGCCTGCAGCCCCAGGGCTGAGGATACCTTCAGCCCTCTGCAAAATCCCCCACAATTCAGTTTCAGCAAGCACGGTGAGGGGACCAAATTGTGTCTCAGACAAATCTAGGGCTCAGCTGTGGGTAGGAGATCCTGCTGCACAAGGCCAGGCTGCATAATACTCAGCTCCATGGCTGAAGCATTTTAACACCCTCTTAGAGCTAAACGTTGCATCTTTGCAAAGACAAAACTCTTGGACAGGAGCAGTTAATCACTGTGATTAAACGGGGAGGAAAATACAGCTCCCCTCCCCTGTTACGCATATAAACACGCACGCCCCTCTTGTGGCTTCAGCACAACCAAAGGAAGTTAGGCAAGACAACTCACAAACCAACCTTTCTTTCAACCGTTTTGCTGCTCCTCTTGGAAAAAAGGACTAAAGATCTTTTTAAACCGGAGGGTGTTTACAGCATATCACTGTCAGTTTGCCCTTGTCCCAGAGCTGAGACAGCACTGACATCCACAGCACCAAGGGTAATTAAAGGAGCGTGGAGACTCTTAGGAGATTATTAATATTACTATTATTATTATTATTATTACCCCTGCGTAAGTGCATAAGCAGACAAGGAGGTTGTGTTACTTGCCTGAAGTTGCCCAGTAATCAGAGGGATATATGAGAATGGATCCAAAGAAGTTTCTCTCCTTGCCCTCTGTTTTGAGTTCAAGATCTCACCCGCTGCCTTTCTGATCCCTTACACACACTGTTATGTTCCCCAGCCTCCTCCACAGGCATTTGTA